GTCTGGCCCTGCTAATCTACGCAGGAGGTCTTTACATGAAGCCAGCAGGAGGGACGTCTTCGGGTTGCCAGGGTCCTTCCTCCAGCTCCCAACTCCCAAGGGGCAGAGCCTGCCCCAACACTCATGCTGAGTCTGGATGAGTCAGCACCCCTCAGTTCTGCATTGTCTGCTTTTCCAAACAGGCACCAGGGGTGGGGTACAGGGCCCCAATCCCTGCACTTCCGTCCCCTCTCCTCATTGCATTAAGGAGCATGTTGGTTCCTGCCCCTGCTCCTTGGCTCTGGCTGCGTTTTGGGTCAGACAACCTCCTTTCTCCCATCGAGCAAAGTCTTACTTTTCCCTCCGGCCCATGGAAGCCATGCACCCTCTAGGAACATGTCCCCATCATTCCCACTCCCAGGGATGGTGCCTGTCTCCGACGGTCTAGGCATGCTCCCTCAGGCCCAGCCAGTGTTGTGAGGGCTCCCCACAGCTTGCACCTCACTCCCAGCATTCCTTTCCCTTTGTTTGGTATGTCAGCATGAGGACCAGGTGAGGCGATGTCTGCAAAAGGACACCAAGCTCAACTTCTCGAGAGCAGAGATAGCTGAGGCAGAAGCTTGCCACTCGGCGGACTGTGAGAGATGTCACAGTACCAAGTCTACTTCACAGAAAGGCCAGAGTCCATTCTGGCTCATCTACTTAACAGCTCTGCAGCCTTGACAAGTCTCGTTACTATCCTGGGCCTCAGTTTCCTTCTCTTTAAAATGGAGGTACTAAAACCTGCCTTGCAAAGTCATTGGATGTGTTGTATGCAGTCGGTGTCCGGCGAATGTTGGGGACCTAGTCAGCAGCAGCAGCAGCTTCCCTGCTGTAGTAGCTCCCCCACTGCAGCATCTAGTTAGGCTAGAACAACAGCCACCCAGTTAGGTCTCTGCTTGCTTTGTCCATTCTCACTTTCTCCTTTTCCTTTTTAGTTCCCTTGGCCATCACCCTGGTCTTTGAGCTTGGCCCTAAAATCTTGTCCAGGGGCTTTGCAGGACCCCTACTAACAGGGAGGAAGGAAAAGAAGGAAGAGGAAAGACTCTGCTAAGGAGTAGCCCTTTCCTGGGCCTGCCCCCAGCCTTCGGAGAGTCAGAGCCAGGCCCAGCCGGCAGGCCAGCGCCCACATTGGGAGGAAGCACGGGAGTCCTCTACTGCAACAGAATAGGCCTAGCAAGGGCCCTGTGCAATGCGCTGCTGCCTGTCACCAACATGTTCTTATAATATTCATACACACACACATATTCATACACACACACACACACACGGAGTATATTTGGCTGTTTCTCTCAACCCAGAGCCCCCTGCTTGTGCCTCGTGTCCACATACAGAAGGGCCAGCACAGCTGCCCTCGCCACCCTCAGCAGGGGCCCTCCCCTTCAGTCCTGCAGGCAGGAGGGTGGATCTGCCCAAGGAACTGTGGCTCAAGTCTACCTTGCAGAATGCCAGGTCCAGGATCACTCCGGGAAAGGGAGGCCATGTTAGTCAAGGCTCGCCTTGCTAGACCTTGGCAGTCTCCTGAGAGAAAAACTCACCTCAAACTGGTTTAAACAAACAAGCAAACAAACAAATGTATTGGCTCAGATAGTGAAAAGGCCAAGGGTACTAGCTGCTGCTGAAGCTGGATCCATATCCAGGGACCCAATTCAAGAAACATCTCTCAGCTCTGATGTTCTATATATCATCTTCAGTCTTGGCCTCTCCCCCTAAACCCCCAGCAGCTCCACACTTGCATCCTACCTGCTTAACAACCCCTGTGGACAGAGAGCACTTTTTTCCTAGCGTCCAGCCAAAGCTGCTGTCTTGAGTACATGCCCATCTCTGAACCAATCATGGTGCCTAGGGATAGGGCATGCTTTGATCAGCTGGACCCGGATCACATGCCCCTCCAACCCCTCCCACAGCCCCAACAGAAGGGGCATGGATCCAGTACAAATCCAGCTCAAAGTCCCTGTGGGCTGTGCTCCAGCCCCTCATGCATAACCTTCACACACCAGCCTTTCTTTGCACATGCTGCTTCCTTTATTTGTGATGCACTATCTCATAAACTCCTCTTCATCCTTCCGAACCCAGCCCGAAGTTCACCTTCTCTGAGAAGCCCTCTGTCACATTTAAAGGCAATTTGGGAATTTGTTCCTATGCTGGAGCCTTTATCAGACTGCCTGCTGCTTACCTGACCTGTGGGTCTGCATCTTCAGAGCTTCCTACAGGTCTCTGGGCACAGAGTAAGTAGGTGGGACAATTTTGTTGGGAATACGAACAAATATACTAAGAAATAACTGGTAGAATTAGGCTCAGATGAGCTCAGAACAGGACTGAAGGGAAGAATAGTGTCCAAGCTATGCAGCTTGCAAAATGGCTGACTGCCAGTCTGGTCGATTGTGGCCTACAAGTGTATGAGTTTGCATGCATGTGTATCTACAACATAGAAAACTGACCGTCTTTCAAAATGAGCTTACACAGCTGACTCCTCCTCCTATCCTCAGGGCCACCTCCTTGAATCTCTGCCCGGTTGCCAGAATTCGAGGCCTGGACAGGCCACAGCTGAGACCAGGGTCAGGCCCCACAGTGAATGGTGTGGAAGTAGAAGAAGAAAAAGAAGTTTACAGTTGGGAGCGGGGGGATGTCCTAAATCTGGGCTCATATTTCCCTAGCACATGCCTTCCCCTGGTGAGGTCCCACGGCATGGTAGTCAGTTCACTAGGGCTGGCAGCACCCAACTTGACAGGGGACTCTTGGTGGAGCCCTGGGATGGGACCAAACATCCACGAAAAAGAAGCTTTGGTCCCTGGAGGACCCGCTTTGTATGTTGGCAATTTTGGTATGATTTCAGGGCTGCTGGGAAGCCCCTGGTCCCCCAATGCATTAATAATGCTTGGAAGTCTGCCATTTGAGATTCGTTCTTTTCGCTTTGTTTGATATGTCAGAATGACATCTCTTGGAACATCCGTGCCCCTGGATCCTTATCAGTCATTCACAACCCAGTGTGAGGAAGTAGTTCCAACTCCCTCCTGAGAATTGGATTGGATTATGCGTGGTGATGGGGTGAAGTAGGGATGAAGATAAAAAGGGAACTGAAACACGGGGAGAATGCTGTCCCATTCTCAGGTGCTGCCCCTCCCCAATCATGCACCTGCCTAAGCCCTGCCCACAAAGAACCCCAGTCATCAAGAACACTCTCTTCTCTGTTGAGGGGACAGGCTCAGGCACAGGCTCAGGCCCAGACCCACCTGGGTTGGTTATGACTCCACTTCCTGCTACCTTGGGCAAGGGATCTAGCCTTTCTGGCCATGTTCCCATCTGTAAATGGGCATAAAGCACCTACTATGTGAATTACTTATTAAGGTTAAAGAAAGGAAATACATGCATATTGCCTATTATGGCTGGCACACAGTCAGCCTGTCTGGAGGAGATGCCAGGTAATGGCACAGCCCAGTGGTGCTGTGCAGAGGGGACATCTAGGAAGGCTTTCCAGAGGATATGCCTGGGCAGGCTTCTGTGGCTGTGTTGGTGGCTAGGCCTATTGTCTTGGGTGCTAGGTGCCCAGGTCAGTAGATGCTCCGTACCCCAAGTTGACTTATTGCTGAGAAGGGAAAGGAATCTGTGCTTGTTAACCCCCTACCAAGTGCCCAATTCTGGTCTTTTTGTGCCAACTTGGTGAGGTGCCAGAGAGGGGCAGCCTCCTGGCCAAGGCTGCTCAGCTAAGCAGAAGGGATCCAGGTTGGTGAGGGAACCAGTGCTCTGGAAAAGGCAGGCAGTGCCCAGATGCTGGTTCCTGCCCCACCACTTCCAGGCCCTGAATGCCTCTCACACCCCCCAGAATCCAGTCCTGCTTCACGCTTACAGAGAGGAGCATTTAGTTCTGCTTCATCAGGGAGGCTCTTTCAGCCCGGATGCCACCCCTGCAAGGCCCAGCACCAGCAGCCTCCCCAGCATCGGGAAGAGCAAGGGCTTATCCTGTGTACCTTTCATTAGCTCTGTGAGCTGACTCATCTCACCATAACCCCTATAGAATCTGTCTCGGGGTATGGCAGTGGCTTCCTGCCCTGTCACACCAAAGGAACAGGGTCCTCTGGTGGGGTGGCGTGGTGCCTGGGAAGAGGGCAGCACTATCCTGCAAGTGAGGCCAGGCCGACTTGGGTTGAATCCTGGTTTGTGTCTCTCTGACCACAAGGCATGGAGGGGTGACTTCCCTCTTTGGACCCCAAATCCTCCTTGTTGGTGCTAGAGTTTTCACGTATCTTCCTTGTGGCTTTGCAGCCATACTTCCTTCATAGAATGCTGTCCCAAAGTCAGCCAGGACCCCCTGCAAGTGAGCCCAAGGCCTGAGACAGGAGGAGGTGCCCCGGGGGTCACCGAGGAGGTCTTGTGGCCTGGGCTTAGAGAGAGGACAAAGAATTAGCCTGACAAGGTGTAGGGTGCAAGAAGGCACTGAGACCAAGAATTAGCGTGGGCAGAAGTACAGCAGTGTGGAAGTGGCCTGGGAGGTTTGTTGGAGCTGCACGTCCACTGCAATCTCTGTCTGCAAAAGCTAGAAAATAATATAGCAGAATGCTTACACCCAGGCCGAGGAGCAGCCTCCAAGCGGGGAGCTTGTTAACCTAGATGTTAAGACATCTGGATATCACCTGTTTGGGTCCTGGTTTGCATTCTTTTGGAATCCTGATCTTTTCCTTCACAGCTGTTGCTGTGGCTGAGCACTTCACACCAGTGACAGTTTAACTGAAGCCCAAAATTCTCCACTTTCAGGCCCTCCTGATTCCTCTTTTTCTCATTTCTGTTAGGAATATGAGCTCTTTGCGTCTTACCCCTGGCATTAGTATTTTAATGTTCGGTTTTTCATACATTTGTAGAATGCATGCATTCATTCATTTAACAAAGATTGATTTGTTATTACTATGTGTCTAGACCTGAGCAGGCACTGGGGAAGCAATAGTGACAATTTGCACAGATGTGTGGCCTACTGAGCCCTCAGTCCAGCAAATCCAGTCATGTGTGCAGAGACTTCCATCTCCAACACAAGACTGGCAGGAAGGGATGGCCACACCAGCACACAGTAGTTTGCGACCTTCATCCACTGGCTGATATATCAGAGTTCAGATCCTATACCAAAGGATGTTGGCATATAAAATAAAATCAAAGGTTGCCTGTTTGGTTCTGCTGCTTGGTGGGGTTCCCTGTGTGTCCTCTTCAGCAAGCCATGCCTTCTTAGAACACTTCCCTTTGTCTCTGCAGGCCTCCTGCCCTGAGCGGCAGCCCTGTCATCTCTGATATCTCATTGATCCGGCTTTCTCCACACCCCGCTGGCCCTGGGGAGTCTCCCTTCAATGCCCCCCACCCGTATGTGAGCCCCCACATGGAGCATTACCTTCGCGCCATGCACAGCAGCCCCACGCTCCCCACGATCTCTGCGTCCAGGGGCCTCAGCCCCGCTGATGGTGAGTAATAACTATGTCTGGTGTCAGATGGGTACTAAATTGATCACAGTGATCACTTCATAAGTTATATAAATGTCTAATCACTATGTTATATACCTGAAACTAATATAACATTGCATGTCAACTGTAATTGAAAACTTTTTTTAAGTTAAAAAATATGACCAGGTGCATCTTCTCAAAATCTGCCCACTGAAACCTTCCCTCTCAGCCCAGAGTCAGTGCCAGGCTAGGGGATATGTGCAGTATGCACTCATGAGCCCTCGGGCAGAGGCTCCTGGAAACATGGTCCCCATGAATCCCTTGTCACCACCTGCATCTTCACCAAAGGGAATGTGTCCTCTCCCAGCTCGTGGATGTGACTATGAGCTGAAGCCAAGGCCTAGATCTGAGAAGACTTAGCCTGGAGTTTTGCAGTGAAAAGGATTCCAGCCTCCAGATGTCAGAAAGGCTTCCTGAAGCATCAGGCTCTTCTCCTGGCCACGAGGTTTGCATTTTGCCTGCTCTTCACTAAAGAAAAACCAGACAAGGCAAATGGTTGCAGCCATGGGACCTGAAAAATGGCCCAACAGAATGTGGCATCATTGCGAAATGGCCCCTTGGGGTTGGAACCCAGCCTGAGCTCTGCATGGGCACCCTCAGTGACTGACCAAGCTGGGGTGCCCTGATCGGTTGTGCTGCCTTTACATTGAGCCACTATCTCCTGAAAAGTGGGCCTGTGCTTCTCCACGCCACTCCTGACAACCCGGCCAGTAGTGGGCTGGCCTAGAGCATGAGGATGCAGGCCAGGATCCAAACACTGCCCTGGCTCTGAAAGTCACACATGGTATAGGGGACTTAATGGTGCCCAAGAGGATAAGTCCACATCCTAATCCCCAAACCTGAGTGCTGCCTTGTTTGGAAAAAGGACCTTTGTAGATGTGATTACATTAGGAATTTTGAGATGAGATCATCCTGGATTGTTTGCTCAGGCCTTAAGTCCAATGACAAGTGTCCTTATAAGGCACACAGATGACTGATCTCGGAAGCTAAGCAGGGTCAAGCCTGGTTAGTACTTGGATGGGAGACCACCCAGGAAGACCAGGTGCTATAGGCATAAAAAATTAAAAATAAGGGATTGTAAGCTGACAAGGTCCTTGCAGTCTGTGAGGTCAACCAAGGGTTGCCTTGCCTAAAAAAAATTAAAAAATAAATAAAGACACACAGATAAGAGAGAAGACAACACAAAGATGGGAAGGATGTGGCCACAAGCCAAGGAAGCCACCATCCCCAGAAGCTAGAAATCACAAGGAACAGTTTTCCTCTCAAGCCTCTGGAAGGAGTGTGGCCTTGCTGACACCTTGATTTTGGACTTCTGGCCTCCAGAACTGCGAGGGAATAAAGTTCTGTTGTATTAACAGCACTAATTTGTCACAGCAGCCCTTAGAAACAAATACACATGGTGATGGGCCTACTCGAGAGGAGACAGAATCTGGTGGCTCCTCGGCCTGGGCCAGAGTGGGCCCCGCACAGTGTCTGTAGGGGGAACAAGGAACAGAGTGCTCTCCTGATGATCTTATGAAGCAAGGACACTGTAGCTTCAGCTGACAGTGGCATAGCCCGTGAAGAGCTAAGTGGCGAGACACGGCTGCCCGTAAAGGAGAGATTTGGGTTGACCAAGCAGTGATTTTATGCCTAATTTCAATATGAACATCCTTGATTGTGGCTCCTACCATCCCCACTTATCCTGCCCAGCTTCATGAGACAACAGGCATAGGTTCAGCACTGGAGGGGGCGGGCTTGCCTAATTTGCATGGCCCTGACCCCTGCAGGGAGAAGACCAGATACCCCAAGGCCTTACTGGCCCTGACCCAAGCTCCCAAATGACTGAAGATAATGTTCAGGCTCATACAGCAGCTCTGTCAGCTGTGCCAGCCCAGTGCCTGCCCGCATGAGGCCCGGAAATTTGATCAGCAACCCAAGGCAGCATCTGCCAGACTGTGTGTGCTGAGGATGAATGGACACTCCAGGGAAGGCTTCAGGGAAGAGGTGGCAGGCAAGGAGGGAAGGAGAGGGCATTTCAGCTGTTCCCAGGGCAGGCATTGGCCATGGGTTGTCAGCCTGGCTGGAGGCCAGGGCTCTCTCTAGAGCAGTGGTGCCCAAACTTTTTGGTACCAGGGACTGATGCTCCTGATGATCTGAGGTGGGGCTGAGGCAGTGATGCTAACTAACATTGTGAGTGGCTGCAAATACAGATAAAGCTTTGTTTCACTTGTCCACCGCTCACCTCCTGCTGTACAGCCTGGTTCCTAATAGGCATCACACTAGTACTGGTTTGTGGCCCTGGGGGTTGGGGACCCACCCCCCCACCCCCGTCCCACTCTAGAGGACATAGCAGGAGGCAGGGAGGAGGAGTGGAGGAAGAGGTCAGAATTCCATTGACTAGCTTCTTTCTGACTAGCGCTCGTGAGATCTCCTTTGGTGTTTGCAAGACTGATAGTGGAGAGGCCGTGGAGTGCAGGGCTTAGGAACTTGGGCTCTAGATTCAAACTACCTGCTGTGTTACCTTGGCAAGATCTCTAAGTACAGAGTCCTCATGTGCTAAGGGAAGGGTAATGGTGTCCCTCAGCTCACAGCATTGTAGTGATAGTGAAATTAAGAGAATGACTGTGATTCCTTCAGCACCGTTCCTGCACAGACCCATCTAGCGCTGTGTACAATGTTGGCTGCCACTGTCAATTTTAATAGTAATTTGAGTGGTGGGTATTATCGCCTCATTTTACAAATGGAAGACTGAGCCACCTTAGACATGTGACACTTTCTCAATTTTGCACTGCTGGTAAAAGCCGGGGCTCGCAATGGGCGTGAGTGGTTTCCAAGCTCTATCCTTTCCCTGCCACCACAGCCCTGAGGGCCTAGAGAGCTGAAGTGTGTCCTCCCTGCCTGTGCTGAAGCCCCGGCAGGGCCAAGTGAGGGCTGGAGGCAGACTGCCCGGGTTCTGCAGCTGCCAGGGAGGGAGCGGTAGACTGTGGCCGGCGAGGAGCTTTCTCTGGCCAGATCAGGCGAGCTCTCAGCCGTGATCGCATCTTGAATGTTCAGGTAAGACTGACAGGGCCCAACTCTCCGGCCACCATGGAATCTGTTTGTAGATTCTTTTTCTTTTGAAGCCTCTGCTGGACCATGGACCCTGTTGGACTGGAGCTATGGGCTTCTGTGGGGCCTGGAGAGGAGGAAGAGAGCAGTGTTTACAACTTCGGCAAAATGGAGGAATGCAGGGGGGAGGCCAGGGTCCAGCCTCCCCATCAGCAGAAGCACGCTCCACCCCTACCCCCTATCCTCCACAGTCTGTTCAGTGTGAACATGGGGATGGGGGATGGGGGACACAGGGGCCCAGGGGACAGAGAATGGACTAGAGGGCACTGAGGGGGACTCCTCAGGCTAGGTGTGTGTTTTTCTTCTCTTTTGCCAGATTCTGATGGCTTCTTTCTCTCTCCCTCCTTCTTGCCCACAGTGGCCCATGAGCACCTTAAGGAGAGGGGACTGTTTGGCCTCCCACCTACGGGCACCAACCCCTCAGACTATTACCACCAGATGACCTTCATGGCGGGCCATCCCACACCATATGGGGACCTGCTGATGCAGCCTGGGGGTGCCACTGGTGCACCCCATCTCCATGACTACCTCAATCCAGTGGATGGTGAGTGCTGGGGGCAGAGAGTGGGACAGGGAATGGGGCTGACAATACCTCCCTGGAGCTGAGGAAGGTGCTTGTGGCTCCTTTGGGGATGAGGAGCCCTAAGGAGGGATCCGCGTTTGCCCCAATCCCTGCCACAAATGCTGTCCACAGAGGGCCTAGTCTGAACCACACACAAATGCTCAGTGATCCACCATGGACCAGGAAGTGTTTTAGGAATTGCAGACACACCAGGGAACAAAACTCTCTCACCTCTGCTTTCATGGAACTTACAGCATAGTAGGGAGATACAAACAAAGCCGGGAAGAGGTTAGGGAGCGCTGGGGTGGACAGGGGGTGCAATCTTAAATGAAGAAATTGAGGAATCTTCACTGGGAAGGTGATATTCAAAAAAAGAACTGAAAGAGGTCAGCTGTGCAGAAATATTTGGGAAGAGCGATCCAGGCAAAGGAGAAAGCAGGTACACAGGGCCTGAGGCAGCAGCATGCCTACCGAGCTCAAGAAATATCCAGGAGGCCAGTGTGCCTAGTGCCCAAGAGTCAGGGCCGGAGTTCTAGTTTTGGTCCTACAGGCCAGTCAAGCCTTGGTAAGACTTTGGTCATCATGGGGATTGAGACAGGGCCCTTGGAGCCGATCGGACAGAGGAGCAATGAGATCTGACTTATTGTTAAAAGGAATCCTACTCTGGCTGCTAATCTGAGAATAGACTTAGGAGCAAGGTGGAAGCAGGGTGTCAGGTTAGTAGAGGTGGGAGAGATAATCATGTTTCAGGTAGATTTTGAAGGTAGAGCCACAGTATTTGTTGCCAGATCAAATGTGGAGTTAGGGAGAAAGAACGGTATCAAAGACAACCCCAGGGTCTTTGGCCTGAGCCACTGGAAGACGCAGGTGTCAGCTAAGCGGGGGGCTATGGGCAGGGCATGTTTGGTGGGTGGGAGATCAGGTGTTCTGTGTAAATAAAAATTCTTGGTGCCCATTAGATTCCAAATTCTTCCCTCCCACTAAATACCATCCTCACCACTGCTTTCACAGAGGCACCTGTGGCCTCCTAACCATGAGCCCTTGGGGTTAGCATGGAGCCTCTGTTTGTGTGGGGGAGGCTAAGCATACCCCCCGCAGGTCAGTGCCATTCTACCTTCTGGTCCTGGAGCCCAGCCCTATTTGGGATACCCCAGATAGGCTAGGAAGTAGAGCTGGAAACCACAGCAAAAGCAAAGGGTAGGCAGGTGATTTCTGCAGATTCACTCTCCTCAAGCCCTGCCTGGGACAGCTTTCTCACTCCTTGATGGCAGGGAGTAGAGGCCTGGTCCCATAAGGAAGTCCTGAAGTCTCTCCAGATGCCCTACATTGGCTCCTACTTTTGTCTCAAGCCCTGCCTGGGACAGCTTTCTCACTCCTTGATGGCAGAGAGTAGAGGCCTGGTCCCATAGGGAAGTCCTGGTGCCTGCTAGGCTGCAGGAAGTCCTGTGGGGTAAGGCAGGCTAAAGATACAGTATGGGTGGGCCCCTGCACCCCTCAGCCCTCTCCCATTCCCCCAGTACTCTGCCCTAGGCTTCCTGTCCATACAGCCACTGCAATTCCTTCTTATTGGCTGGAGCAAAGCTGAGCCCCTCACTTCCCAAGGCTTGGCTGAGATCTTGCCTCCTCCAGGAAGTCTCTCCAGATGCCCTTCATTGGCTCCTACTTCTGTGTGTCTCTCTCTTTCTCTCTCTCTCTTTCTCTCTCTCTCTCTCTACAGGAGCCAGCTTGTGTGGTTCCTGAGCCCCTTGGGCCTTCCTGTTCCCCCACAAGAGTGT